TTAACTGTATTTGAATAATGCAAAGTGGTTTACTCGAAAAAAACAACAACAATAGCAGTAATTTCATAATACAAATACAATGTATTCATTCCACGATTCTACTATGTACAATAGTTCAATATTTGAAAATACAAAATATAATTTGTGGAGTGTATATACCTATTTAATTATGTAAATGACATACAAAAGTTCCATACATACAATGTATACTACTACGGCCTTTCAACTGACGCGTTATTCAGAATGCCTTTAGTCGTCAGAAACGTCACAACAATAATATCAATTATACAACTTCACATACGAACGAGCAGTGTAAGTATGTTCCATAAACATCCCTTAATACATTCTGATTCAAATAAATACTGATCGATTGATCGATAAAACGACAAATAAAATAATATTGGACAATACATTAGTCAATAAAAACATTATTGATAGTAAAAGTTCTTGTTAAACGGTCGAATTTATGATAGACACGAGGGTTTAAGTGTTTAAAGTTAGCTAAAACTACTACGAATTTAATCCAGAATGTGTCACTATTTAATGTGTACAATTAACGATTCATCTCATACCAACTAATATCTGAATAAATATTACTTGCCAGTAATAATAAAACGTCAGCAACGCAGGAGCTGAGATGACCAATTGAAACGCCCTCCAGTGTTGAAATACATAAGCAATTATGGCCAGCAGCATCATTCCGACAGCCCAGCACATACAGTCTAGAAAACCAGCATAGGTGCGTTTATGTGGCGGGAACATTTCCGTTACAATGACAAACTGAATATTCAAAACGCCCTAGAAAAAAAGAATGGGATTAAAATTAATTGTGGTTGATGGATGGCGAAATACATCTATTTGTTATGCTTAATTATGCAATATAGACGAGAACATGAAACGTTTAGAGCACGTTCATATGGCATTTAGTGTAGATCGTTGTTTCAGGGCCAAAATGTATTATTTTTTTGATAGCTAAACTACAATGATTCCGTGATGTAATTCTGCATGTTCCACATTTTGACACGTTTCCCACTTTTCGGATATTTGCATTTTATTTGCATGTTTCGCAATTTTAATAAACATTTTTTTGTGTCATTAGTGTCAATTTGTAACGGCCCTTGCCAAAATGTGGACACTGGAAACATAGCATATACATCGACGTTGTACAGGGCTCATGCCAATTATTAAAACTCTATAGACGATAACGTTAGCGTTTGGGTGAATTTCTCCAAAGAAAACGTGTTATAAAGTTCAACATATTGTTTTAATTTGTTGAAACCTCGTGATTGTAATAAAGAACCAAACTAATTGGCATTGGCAATACAAATACAGTTCCCTCGCCGCAAACGTTTTTCAACGACATCAACGACGCACCCAACAAATATGTACATGTTGAGCGAACAGAAATATAAATTATACGAGATATTGTCCAAACATTGTGTTTTCTATATAGTAGTACACCTTTGTTTGACGTCACTTTAAAATTCAAAATTCACAAGAGAGGTCAGTTTACAGAAAATGGAGATTCCAACACATGCACTTTGTGTTTCAAATATATAATTGGCATGATTCTATAACTTCAATGTTACAGAATACTGAATCATTCTTACACTTCATCTTGTCGAAACACAAATGTTAAACATTTCCTTTTTGATGACCTGCAGATACTCCGGTCTCATTAAAACATCAAAGTGTAGCGCTTGCTTGTTTGTTTGGCTCTTGTCTCAACTGAAAATACGTACCTCTTCCAGCAATCCAACAACGAAACGAAGACAACAGAAAACGGAATAATATTGCGAGAATGCGGTTAGTGATCCAAAGATAGCCTGCAACCACAGAGAACTAATAAACACAGTCTTTCTGCCATGCCGGTCGGAGAGATGACCGGCCACGAACGAACTAATCATGACGCCTGTCATGAATATGACCTGCGATAATTGTGCTAAAAAAGCGTCTTCACACACTAAATCCCACTGCAAGAAAACCGAAAAAAGAGAAGATGTATAAGATGATTTTGTTATAGATAAGTTATTTTTTTAATTAGTGTTTTTTTAACGTAAAGTAACCGGGATCAAGAAGTAATTATTTTTGTGAGCCCGCCGGGTCCATTTAATCGGGACAATCTAAAAATAAATTCGAATATGCTCTAAACACGTCAAAACTTTATTTGAATAAAAAAAGATATTTATGTGAGGGCGCAATTCTGTGTTATAAGCATTAGTCTCTGCGCATGAGCACTTCATTTGTTTTTCCGCCATATTTGTTTACCAAAAGATTTTACAAACTTTATTGCAAGATTCTATCCGTTGTAATCTGATTGTCATCTTTGCCATCCAGCCGTATTATTGTTGAATTTGTATCTGGTAAGATTTGATTCTTTTGTATATTAAGTTTATTTGCCATTTTGTTAGTGTTTTTGAAGATGTTTTAACTTTTGTATACATTTTTGTATTTCGTGTATTGAGCAGACGA